AACGGGCAAGGAAGGGGCTTCATTTTATGGGTTCTAGGCCCTATCTCATGGTTTTTTCTCCAATTTCGTACTACTGACGACCTATACCTTGATTTATAATGTGCTGCTTTGTCATCGTGAACTCCACCTTTGAGTACCCATGAAAGTCGAGCAGCTGAGAGGAAGAAAAGGCTTGATTTATATGGTCGGTCTGGCCAGTGCTGCGGCTCATTTAGTCACTGCTCATCTTCTCCAGCATGAACTACATGCTTACCAAGAGTTTCCTACCAGTTCCTAATTTAAGCTTACGTAACAAGTAATGTAAGTTAACCTAACAAGTGACCAAGACTGGTGTTAAGAAATCAAAAACTGTAGAAAATTGATAGGTAATAATGGCATTCAAACTGCCATCTGCTAAACTAGCGTTGACGTTGCATTATAGTAAAGAAAAATTCCCACACGCAAAACTCGAAGAGAATTTTCTCGAAGACCAGCGTCGGACCCGTTGCCGAAAGGATGTTCAATGGCTGTCCGGAAAAAGCGGCGAAAATCACACCCGATACCCCTCCGCTCACGATCGCCTCCATTGATGCCTTAACAGAAGCATTTTAAAATCGAGAATTCTCAGAAAGTCAAATACTGTAGTCTTTGTCAAGATTGCTTACCATTTGATGGTGCAAAATACGCTCCATCACTGCACCAAAAGTGATAATCGAGGTGATGTTGGCGAAGAAGAGGAAGATGGTAGCAGCGAGTGATTGTGACAAGCGTCCACCGAAGAAATCAGTGTAATCCGATAGATACCACGGGGCCTTGGTCCTAAAAAGCAGAGTGAAGGTGGTGAAGAACAAAATGCTCGTCATTAGTCAGCTTTAGAAAAATCCATGCAGTCGACTCTTAGGTGCGCCAGCAATCAAGGTTCAAATTGAGGTCGCCTGGAAAGTTCGCCACCACAACCTTTCCGGCATGGGCTGGGACCAGAGCCATCCGTCAGTTTTGCTTTCCAAAAATCGCGGAAATCAGCTCAAAAAGGCATCAGAGGTACGTACATACCACCCCCGTATATCACACAACGTGAATGCTGGAGCAGCTTGCGGATTACCTTCTCAGGAAACGGCGTGGGCTGGGACCAGGGGCTTTCGTCAGTTCGAGAAATTCGAGAAACTTCTTCTCTCATTATGCTAGGGAAAACATTCAGAGAGAAGCGGTCACAAATTCTGGGATGTTGGAATTTTTCCACAAAATTCTTAGACATTCCAGAAATTTGCCGTTTGGAGGACTAGGGCAGGATGTGGACGAAAAACCCTTCGACAAAGACAAGAATTTCTTCCCCTGCCGTCGTTGAAGGCATTTGCGTTCACATGGCCCCAGTACTCCAAAAAACTTCTCGTACTGATGATAATTTTGAGTCCTCCTCCGCCCTCTACATGACCGCTGACCGCTGGCACAAGCCTGCAGTAAGTGCCGGCGGATACACCCCTTCATTCATTTCGAAGGGGATGAGGAGAAGTTCCTGTTTGAAGACTTGCTCGGCGGCTTTCTTTGCTTTTTTCCGTTAGCAGTCAGCTCACCATCTACAACTTCTTTATCGGCCGTTTTTACCCCGCGGATTCGATCTGGAATTGTTGCTTCGAACGAACTACGCTCACTAACGACCGCTCTAAGGGCTTCCTCCCAATTTTCCCATTTCACCCCGACGTGGCGTTGACCTAAAGGAAACTTCCAGGGGGGGGGGGGGGGGAGGGGGGGGACGATAAGAACGAGGTTTGAGCAAGACGAAAACTTCGTGGGGAGACATGCGGGCCTCTCTATGGGTGGTGACCGACGCGCAATTGGCAGCGAAAGAGTTTGACCTCAGCGATCTAGCATGGCTCACTCTTGGCGCAGTTGAATCGGTACGCCCATCGACTCTGATTACTCGCCACAGGTCTATACTCGGCGAGTGGTCAGATAGCAGAGAGAGAGCTTTACTAGAGCGCACAAAGATGAGAGTCGTATCAGCGCGAAAATCAACGGGTGAGGAATGGGTTCCATTTCTCGGGGTCTGGGGGCCGTTTCTCACATGGTTTTTCCTTCGTTCTTGTACCCCCCCCCCACCATCCTTGACTTAATTTGAAATAGGTTGCTCTCATCGTGAATTCTGCCTTTAAAAAAGCCCCGGGTAAAACTGGTGTATAAGAGCGCTCCGTAGTGTGACTGAGCTGCGGAATAAACTGAAAGTGGAAGGAAAGCAAGAAAATCATCGGAAACGCTAAAATTAAGGCCTTAACCTTCAGTAAGGTCGGATGTGGTACGATGGCGAGACAGGGCGATCAAAGAAGACAAAACGCGAGAGAGCACGCCGTTCGAGAGAGCACGCTGATCTCTACATCAATCGCGGTGGGTGGGAAGCGTTGCAACGGGGTCGATGGTTGCAGGCCCGTAAGGATTAGCGCCCTAATCGCGCAATTTCGGGCGATGAAGCTGGTACGTAGGTAGGGGCTTCACCATTCCCCTCGCGGTACCCTTCCTTAGTACGGCTATTTCCGGGGCTTGCCTTCACCCGAGACTCGGAAGAACCGATTCGAAAGAACCGAAAGACCGAAAGAAAGTCGGGACCAATTTCGTTCTCCCCTCTAACCGGAATATTTTTCATGCCATCGATCAGTTATTGTAGATACGACAGTTCTGGAATCTATAGAAATGGATTTGGATGCCCCTAGCGATCATCAAAACAAATTACACTTACTTGACATCCTGCACCAGTCCTCCAAACAATTTTCCCGTTCTGACAATACTTCCGTGCCCTCCTTTGCCCTCTCCATGATCTTCGTCGCCCTCGCTGTCACCGTCATGGTAGGTTGCATAGAGCATGCCAACAGTGCGCGTTTGCTGAACACTCAATCGTGACAGTTTAGTCTAAATTGCCTTTACAACGTCAGTAGGGGTATGTCACAAAGGCTTTCATGCCTCCAGGTAAAGCAATAATCAGAAGGAGAAACGCATCAATCGAGCCACAACGTCTCACCTTGGACTCAGTTTCTTTGGGTTCCCAACGTGCATCATCTGAGCATTTTCCTGGTGGAACAGCTGCGATCTGGGAGATGAACTCGTCCGCGGCATCGCACAAAGTGTGCTGCTCCAGTGTGTGAAGAGCCACTTTACGGAATATCTTCAATGATGAGCATTAGAAAATCATACATTACATGACCATTCTTAAACGGCACGACTTTCTCAAAATTCCAATGATTTATTTATTTATTTTTTAATCAATTAATTGATTAATTTTTTATTTATTTATGCGCTCAAATGCGCCCATAGGGGGAACTAGGGCAGGAACGGAACTACAGAAGAACTCAACCAAAATCACGAAAATGAGCCGAGCCAGCAATGGCAGTGCGCTAAATTTCCAGTATATTTTGTTGGAAGGGGAGGAATAGGTCCCCCCAGGAGGCCCGTCGCGCGGCAAGAAGGCAAAGTCAGCGGACGAGTCGCGCGCGTACTATAGGGATTTCGCGTCAAGTTAAATAGAGTGTCCCATTGCACGTCCTACATCGCACACCACGCGCTGCAACTCGTCCGCCGACTCTGCCTTCTTGCCGCGCGACGGCCTCCTGGGGGGTACCCGGTAGGAATAGATCCAATCTACAAAATAGCACGCCGGCTTCATCAAACTTCAACGTGGCAGCTTTGATATGAAGAAGCCAATAAGCCAGCAACCACACCAGTTGACCATGGTGGCTCGCCATAATTCTATTTTTTTACGCAATATCAGCTTGTTCCTGTCAAAGGCACCATTTGGTGGATGTCAGACTCGGTGATTGTGCAATCGCCGCGACTCTTGGCGCTGCTGACATCCACTTATTGGGAGTCCCTTCCACCTGTTGTGGCTATGTTTTGAAAGTTCACAATAAAGGAATATGCTCCTTAGGGTTTACAACGCATTGAGCGCTCAAACCTGCAAGTCCCCCCCCCTTTACTGGAGAGACCTAATTCACCTATTACTAAGCGCGTTCATTAACAATCTGTAAATAAGCGATAAAACCTTTGAGAAAAAATTAATATTAAATGTGACCAGCCCTTTTTAGAAGCGGCACTCATTCTTTTTCACTCGGAATCGTGATAGCACTTAAAAGCGACCTGTACATGAAATGGCCGACGACAACGCAGCGTTTCTATTCCCAGGTAAATCTCCTATCAATCAACGACTCCAGAGGGATGAAAGGACTTAGTCTGCCTAGGCATAGTCAACCCAGGATTTGACTAGCCTGGATGGCTATGTGGCGCCGCTCCCCACTACACTACTTTACTCGTAATATCTATGAGAATAGTATCACTACGATCCTTATGAAGATTCATTTGCAGTCGGGCATCGTCTTCAAAGAGCCCCAATGGAAGTTTCGTGAGAAAAGGATCCGATTTGAGGACCAGAAAATATTCAAATTTGACAAATCGATACCCTGTCCGAAGTATAGTTGCTGCACTGGGATTGCTTCGCACAAGAACGGAGGCTAAGCGATCAGAGCGATTAGGCATAGAGACTGAGCTTGCATACAGAGATTTTTCTAAGCTATAAAGTTTTTCAGAAAAGTCTGACTATCTGGACGTCACTGAGGTGAATGGATCAGGAGTGTACAAGAGTCCCGACGATTTTAGAAAACAAACCAACCTCATCGGCTATAAAGGCACCCATTGTCCGTGCAATAGAAACTCTTTCGTTGTGGTAGTTCTCTGTAGGGCTCAGCAGAAGGAAGATAAATCGAACTGGTACAGGCAAATCCGGAAGAATCGGATAGAGCTTCTGTGATAAAGAAATTTAGTATATGATGGGGAAGTTCCACTCACTTCATATTTTCTTCATATCTCCTATTCTTTTCTTTTTCCAATATCTTCAAGTTGGACCTGAGGCGCAAGGGCAGTCTGAGCCAGTGCTGCAGCTTCTATAAGCTTCTATCATATGCTTGGATGCAGGTATTTCCTCCAATCAACCTTCAGTTCCGTTCAACCCTCATTGTCAGCCTTCTCGTGCCATTGGCATTGCGAACATCTATGTCAGGACCTAATGACACCATGTGAACAAATTTACATGAAAAGCATATTTGCTAGGCAGATTTACAGTACTCCTGCGCTAGTTGATGAAAACAAATTTTCTATCTTTTCTTTGCTTGTAATTACAATCTATGCGCACGCAGTCAGCAAGCCTACAATCTTGATGTGACATGCGTTGCCCGTGCATAACGGGGTATGCACGCACAAGAACTGCAACGACGTTTCAGGTACGGAAGTAAAATTGTGCTGTTACACCTGTATACGTGCGAATATCGGAAAAGTCGTCGTCATGACAAATTTGTAGCACTATTTGCATTTTCTAACCTAACTCTCGAAACTGGATCGGGTTCGAGCGAAATTGGTCGATGGTTGCTGATTTGTCTAGAAAGTTGCCCCCGAAGGTGGTTCATCCATTATCCAACAGTTTAGCGCGTCTGGCGCCCGCACTGCAAGCGTCGGCGCTATAACATTTGTTCGGTGTCGCCGTCCGTGGCGCAGGGTATAGACTGATTCGCGACGAACTTATGTGATGTTCACGTTCAAACTATATCTGGCCTCATAACTCTAGCAAATTTGGTGATCCAAGGTGATGGCGCCTTTCGGCGCCGGCGCTTGTGACGTGTGGGCGCCAAGCGTTCTCGATCTGAATGGATGTGATATTCGTCGTCGAACCAGCCCCACAACTTTCTAGCCAAAACACACATGGAAAATTTTCGATAAAGCTCAGCCTTCGAAGGTCGGGGCGGGTAGTGGTAATTAATGCTAATGGGTACATACCGCCAAATTTTTTTCTAACATACCAAAACCCTAGCTCATGTACATACTATGTACGTCAGAGTGGTCATGAATAAGTCACCTGTGCAACTCGTAATCGCACGAATGCTGAAAGGGGTCTATCCAGACAGGATACGCAGCCAGTCAGAATTGCTGCTCCTTCGGTGTTTGACGGCAATTTCTTCATAATTCGACGATTAGCCTGAAATGGATATCATGACTTCCGATTGTCTCCTCGATATCGGCCTTTCTTGAACCCCTGGCATATGGCTCTCAAAGACAAAGTCCAAAGATAATTCACCGCGGTAGTGATTCTACTCGAATGTGAAGGTAGGGCATGCGATGTGAACCGAAAATGGAGACAGGGTTGAAAGAAGTCGACAGAGAATGCTAGTTTCCTCGCTCTAGGCAGTGGAGATGCATAAGACGCAGACAGCAAGATAAGAGATAACGTAGCCCGGAGAGGAAACAGAAGTCTAACGACCGAGAGGACATAGCGGCAAAACATCACGACACCGTAAAATAACGGAAGTGGTGGACCCTGATAGTTTTAGTAGATTTGATCAAAGTTCTATCACCTAGCGTCTAGTGACGCGTTTTTAAATATGGAAGCGCACGCCACCTCCCCTCCAGTTGGCTCATCTAGAGCAGCCTAGCTACAAGTAGGACTCAGTAAGGCTGAAGCCGGTCCTTGCTTCTAACCACTTAAGTGAGACCTGTGCTAAACAGGTTTTGAAAGGTGGGATTTTTTAGTCTGAGTTTCCAACAAAACTTTTAAATCCATGAATTTGTGCGTAATGTTCAATTTTCATCTGTTTTTTCTCAGTCATTTGTCGATCAATTATCACGAAGGTTACTAAAAAATAGAAAAACATTCGTAAATGTACATTCGCGGTCTTCTCGAAACCTGGTGCCCATTTCCGACTGTGTCTTCCTCTCGTTCTTTTCCTCCCACCGCACAGGTATACGTCGAAGCTAGGAGGATGAGCGGTGCCACATTTTTCGCCAGCTGTTCGCAGAGCCAAGTGGGTATCCAGTACTGGTGGAAACGTAGGAGGTTGGTTTTAGCTGGAATCCTTAGCTTGATTTGTAATTACTGAGAGAGATATTGTAATTGTAACAACTGGCAATATTGGGGTGTAAGTGGTAGAGACTACAAGCTAGAGCTCCGAACTAATTTTAGGTCTTGATAACGACGATTTGTTCGAAACGTCGACCAATAAAGATTCCACCATAACAAACCTGGAAGGCAAAACAGAAGCAAGACAAAAGCATTTATGCCGGCGAGGGTTCCGCACAATATTTCAATCTAAAAATTTTGTTTTTTTTTTTTTTTTTTTTTTTTTATTTTTTCTTCAAAAACATTTCAATCTTTTGACAGATATTTCTGTGGGCAATCAATTTGTCCCCGCTTGCCCTCCGCTAGGTCACAAACTGGTGATTCCCTACACACCAACATAATTGCCCAGAAATCTATTCATAATTTCCCTACCTTGATGTACATCCGTCGTAATGGCTGCGCGATGATGAGGAGATCTTGGCATCCATCGCCCGTCCTCTCTGCTCTCTGTTTTTCCAGCATGATATGCTCCTACCATTCTCTGCCTACCCCCGTACAAGAGCAGGTACGTGTCCACAGTGCCAGTTTTGCCTGCAATTCTCGCAATGGGATCCCGCTTGAATAAAGGCTAACAAGCGAGGTATGCCATAGGCGCCTGAGAATAGCGATTCACAAAGCCGGGCCCCCACCGATCGAGCCCATCACTGCCGTGCAAGCCTTTCATCCCTCTAGTTCGGCTCTGTTCGGACCCCACGGAGAAAAAACATCAAACTTTGCATCGGCCGACTTCCGCAAGCTACCGCATAACTCAAACCGCTTTGAACGCTTCAACGATCTTACCCTACATATGCTGGCAAAAAGTGAATGCGTGGCGCATCCCGAAGGGGGTCGATCAATGCTGGCTGCTTCTTTTCTTTCTCACCAGTCCCACCGCAGGATGCTCTGTTCACTTGGTTTATCAAGAATGCTGGCTGTCATACAATAAAACACGGGCGGGAAAATGGATCACTTGTGTGACTCACATAGGAATCACGATGTCCCCTGCAAACGTAGCCCACACACCACGGTCACGCCGTCGTCAATTTGCTCCGATTCGTCTGACCTAGCAACGCGGAAGGCCACGGGAGTTCAATCGCCGCACAAGCGAGTGGCAGTGCGACTAGTCTACGATCAACGCGCTATTTATGCAGTTATAACCTCTCTTTTTCAAAAATCATACTGACCGACCACGGCTGTGCGCTTGTCGTGCCCTCGTGAGAAAAGTTGCCCCTTCCTGGACCCCTCCGAGGGCAAACGCAGTCCAGCAATAGTTATCGATTTTAAGCGCGCGCAATTACTTCAACTCGCTTGCGATGGCGAAGTATGTCGTGATGCGAGAGCTTTTCTTGTTAACCTTCGAGTCACTAACCGAAATAGTTTTCGCCGGGGACGGCTCCGAGATGATGTTTAGGAGACAGTATAGTTTGTAGTACTATGTCAGCCACCACACTATTCACCAGTCCTCGTTGACCCCATTCCTTGACGACGGCTCCTAAAATACTCCTTTAGGAAGGCATTAGTGAACTTTTGCAGTAAATAACCACTGGTGCACTCACTGGCAATAGCTTCGAATCCGGTCTCCACAACATCCAAAAGCACCGAACCTTTCTTCAAACAGTTTTTCGCTTGCATCAAGCCCTGAAGAAGATTGCATATGAAGCAGTAGTGACTGGTGCCATCCTTGCTACTTCAATTTAGAGTGGGTGTGGCACCTGAATATGACACCCGCTATCGGGGTTAACACACCGATAGCCGGTATCAGACACGGCGAACTTGACTCGGTCGATGGGTCGATGGCTCGCTAGCGGAAATCAAGGGGCAGTAAGTCATTCACATTTCTCGAGGGTCCAATCTTTCTTCAACAGCTCATCTCCTCGATCTATACTTTTAACTCCAATGGGGAAGATTTTCCATACCATCCAACCCCTAGTAAGATTACTAAGTTAGATTGACCTCTAGTTATACACTGGGAATAGTTAGATGAACGGCTTCTACACAGAAACTGTCTTGATATTAAACCTATGTCACGAAAAC